TTCTGGTCCTTAACCACAAGCAACTGGCTCTTAATCACGATGTTTTTAATTCCCTTCTTAATTTTTATTTATCTATTGCTAACAAGGAAATACACATCCTTGTGGACCCTGCTCAATGCTCCTTTTTTTGCTTGCTCAGAACAAAACAACATTAACAGGTAATGAAGCACATCACGAGTCATTACCCCAAGACTCCTGGGACACTTCTGAAAAACAAGAAACAAATTCAAATCCATCTTCTGCTCATATGGATTATTTGTTAGTAAGGATGAAATATTGTGTATGGCCTTTTTTTCCAGTATCAAAATAGACTGAATTTGGTTATTGCAACCCAGGATCAAACCCCCGTTGTTTCACTGCATTGTATTTGAAAGCCTGGCTGAGAGCCATCCAGAAAGTACATCCAAGCTGATGGGTTTTCCTCCTCTGCCTGCCTTAATTCAAATACAAACGCCTCCAGGAATACAGATGCTCTTCAGTATGTAGAATGTTTTATGCTCCACGCTGTTGTGGTGCTGAAAGCTTGTTATTCCTAAAATACTTTGTAGAGTTATTTAAACATACAGAGCTGGAAATGATTTAAGCTAGCAGAATATTTTAGTTCATGCTCCAGCAGCAGGTAAGGTTGCTGTAGGTAGTTTGTATCCCCAGTTTGACACCACTTTGCACTTTGATCTTCTCACCCTCATTCTGAGTAATCATTTTCTGATTGAATTCAAGCTAACAGGAGATCTTATCTTTGGGTAACACCATCTAGATGCAGTTGATACCTTTTAAAGGGAAAAAAAATAACCACCAAAAACACTGGAGGAGCCACATCTCCAGATCCTCATGACAAAAAAAAGCCATCATTCCAAAAGAAAAATGAACCCGAAACATTATTTTGATTAAAACTCAAAAATTAGAATCATAGAATCATTTGGATTGGAAGGGATGCTATCGAGTCCAACCCCCCTGCAGTAATCATGGACATCTACAGCTCCATCGGGTGCTTAGAGCCTCATCCAGACTGATCTTAAATGTGACATCCAAAAATTACTCAGGAAGGATATGTATTTACTCCTCCAAATGAACAACTGTATTACAACTTAGTGATGCCATTTTGGCCATTCAAAAAACTATTCTCAGGGACTGTCACACTTCACCATGTAGTTTTGATTGGAAGACCTCAGGAAAATGCTCACACCATGGAAACACTCCTCTCTCAGCCTTTGCTGAGGAACTGCTCCATGTGCATGGAAATTATCTTAATTAATGGCCTCAAAAAAAAAAAACAAAACAGCTCATGGGAGCTAAAGACTCCTGAGATCAAGACCAAGCACAGTAAATACTTGTATTTCTTTGGAGAGTCTCTTCACTAGGAATCTCCTCACCAAGAGATATTAAGGAATGCCCCACAGCAAGTATCTGATTGTTCCATGGTTATAGCACTATCCTGAGAAACAGGATCTGGGTCAGCCCAAGAATGAGGAAAGAACTCAATCTATCAGATACAAACCCATGTCCTGTGACTCAAAGCAGACTGAAGAGCAGAACTCTACTTTATTCTGATTTGCTGAAGCTCCTGCACTCACATCTTGTGTCACTTTCTCTGCAAGCTCCCAAATAGGAGCCATATTTGTTTTGTTCAAACCAACACAAACTCAGCAGTTTCAGTTCAGTGAAGGAGAAAATAAAGCTCGTTAAAAACCTTTCCTTCTGTTCACCAAAAACCCCTCTATCCCAGGCACTCCCAGTAGAAGGAAGAGCAATGTCAATAGGAAGTTGTCACATTACGTAAGGAAAGTTTTCGTAAACATTGTGATACAAAAAGAGATGCTGTAAACTAGGGGCAAGGAACATAAAAATAAGCACTTTACCAAACCTGTGATCTGTGGGATTTAGTGATCAAGCACGTTCACTTTAATCAGCAGGATATCACACGGAACGAAAGCTTCTAAATGAGATATACCATTGTAAATGCCAGTGGATACTTCCTGTAACAATTTATTTTCTGCTAATTATATTTGCCTATCTGTAGATCAATGCTTTCTGTATCTTCATACTTCATCTTGTTAAACCATTCTGAAGGGAAACTACTATTTGCATAAGGCAGATTGCTAATTCTCACAATAATTACAAATAATAGAGGAGACACACAACTGAACAGCTATTTCTAATCGCATTAAAGGCTTTGTACTTTGCTAATACACAACAATTGCCAGGTAAAAAAATATATATTGTACTCAGAGACTTGAATGAAGATGTGCTTTGCGAACTGCATAAGCAGTGCCTTTGTCAGCCTTCAGGCATATCACAATAAAAATGAGAACTTATCTTCCTCAATGGGTTTTCCTGCTGGAAAAGCATCTTCACATTTGAATGAGCAAATAACCTTTCTATTGTCACGCTGTCACAATATACTGCCCCCATAACAACAGACCATCTCAAATAATTTCTTTAACCGTCAATACTCAAACGTGCACCATATTTCTCCTGCAGCTATAAACAGTTATGGCATTACACTTTTCTCACTCCAAGGCAGCAGCACTTCAGCATCCACTGCTTTCCTATTTAATTCACTTCTGAACTCCCCGATTCTCTTTTCTTCATCTGTGTTTGTACATTGGTGGACAATCTACATCCACAAACAGATTCTACACACCTTATATTACTCTGCCCCGCCAAAAAAGTAGTATCCTATGGCCACAAACTAAAAATGCCTTATTCTCACAATACTATGGGCTTAGGCTGAAACAATAGAAGATGCATCAGTACCATATTCCAAGCACTCCCTTTGAATTTCCTTCCCTGTAAAAGCCATTGATTCATGCCACGGACATCACAAATATTTTTTTTCTCAGTTTTGAAGATAAAAGCCCTAAGTAACGCCATGAGTTATTTAAACAGAAGAATAAAAATCATCAACTTCATCATATTGTTCATCTTGTTCCAAGTTACAGGAGAGAAAAACACACAGAGGACACAGACATGATGTTTGGAAGCATGTAAGTCATTAAGAGATACAGAAAACATCCCCAGCGGCTGTCCAGGTATTACGGCAAGCTTTGAGCCACTGCCATTCAACATAATCCATTACCCAAGTCCAGAACACAATGGTAATCTCATTCTGCTCTCACCCATCACCTTAGGTGAAAATCAGGAATTAATGCACAGGCCAGAAATCCTATTGCCTACCAGATTGGTATTTCCAAAGATAATATTACCTGTGAGAAATCAAAAGAGCGTGACAGTATACTTAGAAAAATTGTGAAACCCCAAGCCTGTGAATGTTTTAATACGGCCAGGAAGAAGAAAATCTAAGGCAGACCAGAATGTCATAGGTTTAAGTGTTACTCATATCAAGCACTGCTCTTCACCTCCTGCTAGTCTGCCACCTCCTTCAGAACCCCATAACTTAAGGGGCACTACATAGCAAAAGCCAATAAAAGTTAATGTCAAAGACAGAGATATTTAATTCAAGAAAAGCCTGGAATACTTGCTTTGCTCCTAGATACACCCATCACTGATGAAGCTGATGATGGGAAAAAAACAGGGAGAAAGTAGGTGATCAAAGACCACCAGAGGCCATTATTGTGCATGCACAGAGGAACATTAGCATATATTAATAATTTTTTGGAAAAGGATGAATATGTATGTCTTAACAGTTTAAACATAGAACTTGAACTCTGAAGGCACGTACTTGATTGAAATCACCCAATACATATCGAGAGGAATCAGGGAATGCACCTTTCTAACACCACATTGGAGTTAGTTTTCTTCCTGGATTTCAGGTGACAACTTGAAGTGTATTTCAAGTACTTATTAAAGTCAACTTGCTTCTTTGGTCTGCCAAAATAGCTACTGACAATCTTGTCTACTTGTAGAAACAGCTTGTGAATAAGACATATTGGTATTCTAGTATATAGAATATAAAAGTGGATAAATACAGACTGGACTGGCATAACACATTGTATGGGAACTGCTGAGTCACGGCCTGAACCTCTGATTGATCACCTGAGGCCAGCCATGAGTCAGCCAGAGGAGCACAGGTGAAGGCAATTCACCTGTGCTGCCGGAAGGGGTGGAGCCTGGCTCCTAGACCTATTTAAGAGCTGGCTACCACTGGGGAAGGATCTTGTCTGGAGATCCCCTCTTCTGATGCTTTCTGTAGATAAGCCTAGCATATGGGTAAGCCTTCCATTTATTTTCCTTATTATCTTAGTCTACTTTGCCTAACTCTTGTTCTTTTGTGATTATAACATCTTAATATCCATTGATTATACATACACAAACCATTTTCCGTACTGGACACTTTGTACAAGTCTAAATGCAGAACGGATCTATGTCCCATATGAACTGCCTTTATTTTCCCATGAATATAATGCAATGTTATCACAATATTTCACTCACACCTCTAATTGTGCCCAAATACCAAACTAGCAGCTTTTTCTCTGCTCAGAGGCTTCATGCTCTGCTGTCTCTTCTAGAAGCTACATCTTTTTCTAATGTCAAATCCAAAATTAGATGCGCTACTCCCTGCCAAAAAGTATCAAAGGGTGGCCTTCCTGCACACTTCCTAACAGACAGCCCAACAGAGGGCTGAAGTTTAATGAGCTATTCTTTTGGAAGCATGCCCAGTTCTTTACTTAATTTGGCCTTTAAACTCTAATTCTGTTCAGCATACATTGATGTGCTCCCGGGTTATGCATTGTGACAAGACAAATTCAAAGACCCTGTCCCTATTTATAATCTCACTGCAGTTTATTTCACGTTCAGCAACATGGTTTATTTTCAGTCATCAGCTGTTTCATCCAGATTATTAACAAAGACTAAAATCACCCCTCAGAAGGATCTACTCCAATTCATGCATTTTAGGTTCCCATGTGTATGGATCCATTTTGCAGAGGAAGCAATAATTAATTTTATCTCATGAGGAAGACTGCTAAGCAAAACAGACCTGGCTGGCCTGAAAGGGTCAAACAGGGAACATGCGGCTCCTCCTGAAAGGGAAGGACTGCCATGTGAGACTGGCAAGCATAAGCTACAGCTTCTTCATTCCGTGACCAAGAGCAGAACGTGTTCTGTGGAGAGAACGCCTTTTGATCACTGTACTGACCATAATCCACAAAGTGCTAATTAAGTAATGATGTATTGCTGTCAGCTGCATGAATGTTATCTGATTACTCCTGTATACTCTGTACCTGTTATCTGTATACTCCTGTAGCTAAAAGAATATAAAAACCCTGTAACAACAATAAACTTTGCTTCTTGAGCCACCAGAGCCTAAGCCTGTCTGTCCCAGGCGTCTTCAGCTGATCTCCGTCATTTGGTGCCGAAACCCGGGAATCTCGGACTCCAATGACAAAGGCGTCGCTTCCTCCCACGAGCCGCGGTTGGTAAGTTGAAATAGGGAGGTAAGGACTAGGGAATTGGACAGATTGTTAAATAAAATGGGACAAGCTGCAAGTACTGAACGAGGCATTTTTTCTGCAATGCTGAAATCATTACTAGTTGCCCGAGGAGTAAAAGTGACTCGGGGTCAGATTAGTCGTTTTTTTAGATTTTATAGAGGAAGTATGCCCCTGGTTTCCCAGGGATGGAACTATTAATATTGAAACTTGGAACAAAGTAGGTGAAAGACTCCATGGCTATTATGCTGTGCATGGTCCTGAGAAGGTACCTATTGATAACTTTACGCTTTGGACTCTAATAAAAGTATGTCTCAGAGGAGACACAGGAGATGAGAAGTGGCAGCGGACCACTCGCTCAACAGAAAAGTTATATCCTGCCTTGCCGCGATCAAAATCTCTTGATCATATCCCTTCGTCTATGCCATCGGCACCCCCACCCTCCCCTCCCCAATATGAGCAACCTTTGATTTGTAAATTAGCAAACGACTTGCCGCCTTGTAAACCTCCTGGCACTAACATAACAAAGGATATTTTACCCCCTGATGATTGGGGAGAATTAGAAAAAGAGGCTGCTGAATATCACCATAAGGACTTAGCGGCTGTATTCCCAGCGTTACAGGTTACTAATGCCGCTGTGCAGACACAACAGATAGTCGATCAGGCTCGATCAGATCCCCTTGCTGTTTTGCCTGCCTTTCGAGCAGGGCGAATGCCTCCCCCGCCTGGAGCAGATGCTTTGCTTATGCAACAATCTCCTATGCAATTGGCTTTGAAAGAAGCTAGGAAAGCTGAGGAAACAATAGATGAATTTTCTGGGCAACTTTTCCCATCTCAAGTTTTCCCTGTCATACAGTATCAACTTGCAAACGGTGGCATTCTGAATGATTATGAGCCTATTCCTTTTAAACAACTGAAAGAGCTTAAAGCTGCTAATATTCTTCCCCCTTCTGACTGGAAAAGCTTGGCAAAGGCTGTGTTAAGTGAAGGTGAATATTTGCTTTCGACTTCCGAATATGCGGAACGGTTCTTCTTGTGCCCCTTTATTACCAGTTCCTCATTTTGGAGTGAACCCCAGAGGATTAATGCCTAATGATTTATGGCAGATGGATATCACACATGTACCTTCTTTTGGAAAATCTTCTTATGTCCATGTAACAATTGACACTTTCTCTCACTTTGCAGTAGCCCTCAGCCTTGTCTGGTGAAAAACTCTCTCATGTATGCAACCATCTTTTGCATTGTTGTAGCGTTATGGGAACACTGAAATCATTAAAAACTGATAACGGGCCAGCTTATGTAAGTAACGGTTTTGCAACCTTTTGTTGACATTTTATAATTTACCATAAAACTAGAATTCCATATAATCCAGAAGGCCAAGGCATAGTAGAAAAATTTAATCATTTAATGAAAACTCAACTAAAGAAAATAAAAGGGGGGACATGAGGAATTAAAGATACTCCATCCTCTATGTTATCACATGCATTATTTGTTTTAAATTTTTTGACACTGGATGATGATGGAAAATCGGCTGCGAATAGATATTGGAGTAATAAAACAAGAGATAAACAATACAATATTGGAGAAATCCAATGGACGGTAAAATTTATAGTCCTGATCCTATACTTATTTGGGGCAGAGGATACGTTTGTGTTTTCCCTACAGATGAAACCTCACCATGGTGGATACCGGAGAGATATGTCCGACATGCCGAAAACAAAGATGGGAAAACTGCGAAGGAAGATGCAGAGACTGACTCTAACCCAGATGTGGGAAAGAAAGATGCAAGTGAAAATACGACTCATGGCCCTAATCCTTAGTACCTTTTGGATCCTACCCTCCTATCATTCATCCAGTAACATGGGATGAACCTGTGGACATTCCGGTTTACAACAATCAAACAATGTTTATGGGGCAATATTCAGATGGACACATAATAGAGTTCTCTGCGCGTTTTAATTATTCTGGAAAGGTTGATGGTATGCCTATATGTTTTCAGATGAATCAAACACAATCCCTGTGTGAGAAAGTGGTAGTGCAAAATGATTGGGATACCAATGTTTCAACAGGAATTCATTGGGCTCTGAATTTTCTCTATATAGATTTAGCTAATGGGACAAGAGGTTCTGGAACGCCTCCCTTAAATTTTCCTTTATGTCGAAATACGTTCACTCCAAAAACAGAATTTGCACCATTTTGGAGAGCATGTCGAGCTAACGAAACGGTGTGCATTGATTCCACTATCTGTGATTGGAATATGATAGGAAATCAAGGGTGACCAATTAATTTGGTCTCAGGAATTTGGACAAAAAACAATCATATGTTCTATTCTAATTTATGGAAAGCAGTCGCAGCCATGGAAAAAATCAAAGCAAAACGATTAAACTTGACTTGGATTCAAATAAATAATAAATGGGCAATGACTGCAGAGAGTTATACAACTGAATTTTATATGCGAGCTTGTGTTCCAGAACCTTATGCCTTTTTAAGCGGACCACTAAATATTGTGAATAGCATAGTGAGTTGTACTGATTGTATAATCTCTAATTGTCTTAATAGTAGCAGTAGTTCCTTCTTGTTAGTGAAGCAACCCGATTACGTCTATCTTCCTGTAAATTTGACACATTATTGGTATGCTGATAAGGGAATGGAAATTCTCCAAGAAACTTCTTTGCAATTAATAGAGAGATCTAAGCGAATGGTCGGATTAAAAATAGCCGGCATGGCTGCGCTCATTGCTGCCATAGCAGTAACTACAGTTGCTTCTATTTCTTTAACAACTAGTATTCAGACAGCAGCTTATGTTAATGAATTATCAATTAATGTATCTAAAGCGTTACAAAATCAAGCTACATGGGATGAAAAGATTGAACTGCATCTCAATTCCTTAAAAGATACAGTAGTCATCCTGGGAAGACAGTTACAAATTATAGCTACTCGTGAATCTCTCTTGTGTCATGCAGAATACCGAGCTATCTGTGTGACTCCTGTTGAATACAATAATACCAAATTCTCTTGGAACAAAATACAAGATCATCTTCAAGGCATATGGAATAATGCGAACACGTCATCAGATCTTAGGGAATTGAGACAGCACATTCACGATATGATACAATCGCACCGTATAGATCTTTCAGTAGCAACTCAAACTACTATATTTATAAGCCCTCTAAAATCTGCATTTCCGTCCTTCAAATCATTTAGAAAAGGAATTTATGGGCTGATAGTCATTGCCATAATAATAATAATAGGAATTCTTGCTTGTCCATGCTTGATGAAAATGATAACAAATAGATTCCAAAATTTGCATATAAATCTTAAAAAATTGGAAATGGAAAACACAAAAAATAAACCATCACCACCTCTGTTCTAATGAAATAGAAAAAGGTGGAATGAAGAAGACTGCTAAGCAAAACAGACCTGGCTGGCCTGAAAGGGTCAAACAGGGAACACGCGGCCCCTCCTGAAAGGGAAGGACTGCCATGTGAGACTGGCAAGCATAAGCTACAGCTTCTTCGTTCCGTGACCAAGAGCAGAACGTGTTCTGGGGAGAGAATGCCTTTTGATCACTGTACTGACCATAATCCACAAAGTGCTAATTAAGTAATGATGTATTGCTGTCAGCTGCATGAATGTTATCTGATTTAAGTATTGTATACTCCTGTAGCTAAAAGAATATAAAAACCCTGTAACAACAATAAACTTCGCTTCTTGCGCCACCAGAGCCTAAGCCCGTCTGTCCCAGGCGTCTTGAGCTGGTCTCCGTCAATCTCAAAGCTCCTAAGACGGTGAATGCTACTTCATTTTCACTTGAACAAATGTATACTTTTGGCACACATTAATCCCCAAAGGATTTCCAATCAGCAAAACACAGTGATGTGAATTTTTCAAATGAGCGCATCGTAAGGGTTTTATGTTTATTAAGAGTTAACCGAAGTGATAGATAATATCAGACTCTCGAAGAAGTCTTTATTCTTTCTGAAAAGCACTTTTAGTAAAGGTTTACCAAACCTTGGGGAAAAGAGGAAAAAAAATTCAGGAACGTGCACATCAATTTCTATTTCTACATCAGTCTGTTTCTCATCCACAGCTGGGTTAGCTGGGCAACACAGTAGTTGTCAGCTACCCATAAAGAAAGATTAAATGAAGGCTAAGCCTTTTGATATGCAAGTTTGCTTACTAAAACATACGTACTCTTCGCACCATGGCTCTCTTCAAAAGTACTAGCCAACCTTTTCCAGCAGAGGAAAAAAAAAAACACTTCTCTATAATCTGTTATTTAATTCACAGTTATCGAAACGCCTCCACTTGTGGATCTGTACTGGATCTTTCTGACTTACTGTATAATCAGTGAATATACAGATGTTATAATTAAGAAATATATAGGAAATTTAGGCTAAACAGGTAATCATACCAAAGAAGAATGGGTGAAAAGCTTACCCATATCCTGGGCTCGCTGAGAGGATTCCAAGAGAAGCCATCTCCAAAAGAGATCCTTCCCTACTGCTAGTCAGCCCTTAAATGTCTAGAAGAGGCTCCATCCCTTCTGGTCACACAGCTGAACTGCCTTCACCTGTGCTCCCAGGGCTGACTGAGTGCTCACCTCAGGTGGTCAGAGGTTCAGGCCGTGATTCAACAGTTCCCATACACTTACAGAAAAGAAATGTCAGATAATGTCAAGAAGTAACACCTTTCTTCAACTTCTGCCATGGTCCTCTATTAGAGAAGGCTTGCTTTCTCAATTAAGGCTGGTAGACAAAAGTGTCATTGGTGTCACTCCTTTCCAATGACCTTTTATTTCTTAAAAGAATTAACATCACCTAAGTACCACATTACTCTGCTGGGCATCACCTCTGCAGTGCTATCCCAAATTTACACCATTTCCCAGCCATGACACTCTAACTTCCCATGCTTTGAATCAAGCTGCAAATCTTTCAACCTAGGCAATCTGTTCCAAATCTTTTTTTAAAGCATCTTTTGTAATGGAGGCCAAAGCAGGTTCTTAGCCAATATCATCTTACTAAGTACTACTAGCAGTGCGAGGGGGAAGCAGCAAGGACAGAGGCTGTTATCATTGAGCCTACTCAAGACTGAGCAACTTCACAGCAAACTTATGTTTCAGTGAATACTTCATAAGAAAGTGGACTCCAAATTAATGAAGTGCTAACTACTTTCTGATACTATAATTCCTGCCTGCACCTTTCAAACCAAATCTCAGCACTACGCGAAATCTTTTATCTTCCCTCAAACTTCATACACAATTTTAGAGTTTGAGAATGGCCTAAGCACAGTCCTGAATTCAGAGAACATCTGTAAGAGACACAGAGTGAGACAGGAATTAAACATGAAATATTTACTCTTTGCCCTGCGAAGCTGCAGCTTTTATTCATGCCTTCGTTCCCCTCCTAGATTCTCAGCTATTTTCTTTCTGGCTGTGTCTTAATGCTTGGCACTCCATGCCGCACCAGACATTGTCAATGACAAGTTGAATTTGTCAAAGTAAAGTAACAAATTTGATAATATAATTACAGTGTATTTCTCTCATGCAAAGCGTGTAGAAGTTGCACATTAAGGTCTTCTCAAGAGCTTCATGAAAAACATTCTGCAAGTCCCGGAAGTAGATGAAAATGCATGGCATAGCAACTAAATAGAGGTTTTGAGCCTCAACCGCTGTCTTGCACAGGTTGCTACAGTTTTTAAGAGTTTTATCACATCTGTTCACTTTAGACAACATAAACACAAGGATAAAAATGAAGTACATGATGGCTGTGTTGCCACTGCGACCTCCTCCAGTGCATCAGTTTGATGTTGACATTTCCTATTGTGTTATGTGGTTTCTCCATTGGAGCTGGACCTCAGAATAGGAGTAACCCAACTGCCTCTCACTGTTAAGCCAGGATGGCTGCAAATAACTGCAGCCTGGCATTCCCATAAAGCTACGGTGGTGTTAATACTGTCAGGAGGAGGAAATCCCCATAAGCTTTCCAGCAGAAAGCTCTCATACATAAACCACAACCTCCAGTGTGCAGAAACACAGAAAAGAACCTAAATACAATCACATAGAGGACCAGAAAGATAACTGCTGTTTTTGTCATTTTAGTGTCCATCAGGTCACTGTAAAAATAAGCCTCTTTAAGACCCAGCAATGAAACTAATGTTTCACTAATGGTACACTTAGTCATCAAGTTAGTCTTTCCACCAGCAATTAGGCAGTTGCCATGGTAATAAAACTGATCCTGCCTGACCTATTTTTCCTACAAGTGGTGGTCATCATATGAAGTGTTACCTCCTGGATGGTATTTTGCCTTGTAAGTATCTAACCCTGAAGTTAAAAGATCACCTTGTTAACTGCTTAGGGCTCAGCAACAGCACTTTCTTTTTCCTACTAAGGATACTGAAAACAAAAGTCATGGCTACATTTATTTAACAGTCAATTTTTAAAGAGTGTTTTAATTTTTTGTCAGTTTATCTGAAATCTGAATTGCAGTAAACTTTTGCTACTATTTCAAAGCCAAACTTTTACCCCATCTGACCATTGTGCGTATATCTCACATGTCCTCAGCTCCAAAATGGCAGTACTGTGGGCAACAGTGCCAAAAGCCAAAAAGCTGTTTGCTGTTGTGCATTTGCAGGCACATTTTTCCCATTAGGATCAACAGACTGTTTAAACATGAAGTCTGAGATAACCTTCCAGAAATCAGCTGGTACTCAAACCTTTCCACCAGGGACAGAAAAAGGACACTTCGTCTACTGTTTTCCTTCTCAAAAGTTCAACAAGTTTTAAACATTTGCAAGCATCTAAACATAGTTTCTTTGGAGACAGTGGGTAACTCCCTAACACTTGGAGACATCAATTGGCTTTCCAACTACCAACTCAAGGAGATTAACAGTTCTGCAAGTATTGGCACATACCAAAACAGAAGCTGTGTGAAGTGCTGCAGGACAAAGGTATGCCCAGAAATGCAGAGTTCTTATCCCTTATACTGGGATAAAAAAGGCAAAAGTTGATTTTACAGCAAATGCTCAGTATCCAGCAAGTGACCAGTGATTTCCCTTGGTCATTAGCTACTTGTGCAGCACTGGATGCCATTTTGTGGCCAGTCCAGTTAATGACTTGCTAGGCAGACCCACCATGGCAAAACAGAAAGTGATTGGAAGACAGAAACGCGATTTGGAGTGCACTTGAATGCAGCACTGCAGAATCCCATGGCAAAGGTGTTTCCAGACAAATATAACCCAAAGGCATGATTGCCCCTGGCCAGACACAACGCTTGCATACAAGTGCTGGCAAGAACATTTCTCTGTGATCGGTTTGCATTGTTAATAAAGCAAGATCAGCGAAGAACAGTGGTCCACTGCCTATTCATTGTTGCTTTGGATGAAAAAAGAAAAAAGGAAGATAATTTGAAACTAATTTCTGAAGCCACAATGCTTGCAGAATAATGAATTGAAGGAAATCCAGGCTGTTACTTACAGCCCATTTTTCAATATCCATTGTTTTACGCTGCAAGTTGATAAGACTGTTTGGTACCATGCAAGCAACTCCAAAGTTACATCATTTGATCAAATGAGAACAAAATATTAACCCAAGTTAATTCATCCGAGTATGTGGCCTGATGTCAGACCACAGTGCTTCATCCAAAAGCAGGTAATAAAAAAAATCTGTTACATCTGAAGGTTTCCATGAGGGAAAATTTTTTCTTACAGTAGGAGGAAAAAAGAGATACAGAAGTTAACCTTCAGCCTGTATTTTCCTATCAAGAAATTGTTTAGGTTACTCACTCATTTAAATAAGTACTAATGATAACAATCTTTCACAGGGGACTGGATACCTGTTAATATCTGATTACCAGAAGGGCAAAAAGAAGCCTCCAGATGCATTTCTGTCCACATAGAAGGCAACGTGGAGCAGCTACGACCACAAAGGCCAGTTCCAGTTTGCCTGGTCAAACCCCAGAACGTTTTAAAGCAGACAGCTGGAACTACTGAAATCCTTCTCCTGGATATCAGTTAATTCCTTGGAGGACAGACGACTGTCAGATGCTTTCAAAGGCATCTATCTGTAATTTGAGCAGGAAAATAAACTCTGGAATGGAGACTGTCTGGTGCGATAACAAGCTGGATAGGCTGGATAGGTGGATAAGCATTTTTTGTGAGAGATGTCAAACACGAGGATGAGCTCTGAAATGTATGTGATTATCAAAAGGCTGCATGCTAACCATGGGATCCAAAACTGGCTTTGGGGCCTGAGATGGAGAGTGTTGGGTGTGCCTTGGGAAACTCACCTCTGAAAAAGAATGGTAAGAAATGGACCTGGATTTTTTAAATGTACAAAATTCAGCCATCCTAGTCAAGCCATTGGTGACAGATGTCACATGAGGCCATGCAGGCAGAGGGCAGAGTGATGGACAAGGAACATAGAATCACCCATGACCGTAAGAGAGAAATCAATGGGCAAAGAACTCATCCCTTGCTATTTCCAATATTGCCAGCAAGCTACAGCAGTACAACTTGATAAACAGAGGAGTAAAGACAATTGCATTTTGCCAGGATAAAGGCATTAGGACTGACTTCTCTGTGATTACTCCTAAGCTTTAAAACCAATATCAATATTTGCATGAGTTATTCTAAATGGGTATCAGTTACTTATAAATAACAGATAAGTAAATTGAGAAAGTCAGATAATAAACCACTTACTCTGCTGTCTGGTACAACACAG